TTGTTAGCAATTCTTAGCCTGGTGCCAGAGCCTTGACTCCCGATGCTGGCATCTGTCTGTCTGTCTGTCTGTCTATCACCTATCTTCCTATCTATCTATCTATCTATCTATCTATCTATCTATCATCATCTATCTATCTATCTGAGATTACAAGGTGGTTCTTTCCAGATCCAATGCAGGTTTTAAAATCAGGTTTTCTCCTAATTTCGCTTGAGTCTCAAAAGCCTGGGAATATCGGCATCATCAAAAAGGAGAAAATGGTGCCGAACTGAATTCTGGGTACCTAAGGACAGAGTGACCAAAGGATAAAAAGTGTGAAGACAGTTTGAAGAATGAGGGCTGCGGCATGACCCCAAAGGCAGCAGCAATTCCCACACCTGCGTGTTTGTCGGAGCAGACGGATATCAAAGTTCCAGGGGCTCAGGTGTCTGTAAAGTTCATTTCAGTGAAATACTGATAGATAGCTCACACGGTTTATTTTTTTTTTATAAAGCAAGATACGCTTATACTAAAAGGGGAATAGCTTAGTTTTTGCATGCTAAGCATCTCCACTCAAAAATAAGGAGAAAGACCACTATATAAAGCTATAATATTTGGCAAGATATGAGTAGTGCCGTAGAGAATTACAAAGTACTTTGGTGCCGGGTGTGGATCATACAAGGGAAAGATGAGTTAAAGAAGTTAAAAAGAAAAAGAAATTATAAACTATTCTTGATGTAAAGTTTAAAAGAAGTAAGCGGCTTGCCAGATAGATATAGCCGGGCTGAGGCAGAAGGAGCTGTCCCAGAAGAAGCAGAAGCATGAGCACCGGCTTGGGAATAGAAAAGAAACACAGTAGAAATCTAGAGCAGTTTTAACTCCTCAAGCAATATGATAAGGTTGTAGGGTTCCTTGGGGCAGTGTGGCTGGATACTGTGATTTGGTAGAGAGCAGAGAGTCACTGAAGCATTTTGAGGAGAGTCCATGGAGGCTTTCAATACAGTCCTCTGAGACAGATTAAAATCCTGATTGTGGAGACCAGATGAGTGACTCTGGTCCAGAAAATAAATGAGGAATATACGTACATGTATGTATGTAACATATGCAAACACACATATGCATACGCTCCCGCCTTCATACATACATTCTCTGAGAAAGGATGCTGGCAATCTTACCCATACTGAATTCCCCCCACAACTAACCCACGCCTGGCACCGAGTCAGCACTCAATATTTAAATAGTATTAGGTTACGTTAATAACCAAGGGGGTTGCTCTACTGATGTCTGTTTGCCATCTTTTCAGGCCCCCTCTCTCCAGCACTTTCTATGAGCTACTTACGAATGTATTTTGCTATAAATGCAGATAAAAGAACCACCACCTGTACTGAAAGATGTCTTTTTGTTCACCGCCTGATCCACAATCCCTATGTTGACTGCCTTCTTAAATGCGTAGCTCTGGGATAATTGACTCTCTAATCCCTGCCTCTGAAATCTGTCTCACGGGCTCTGTTTATACGCATCTCAGATCCCTCTCTCTGCATGTTTCTTTATTTCTATGCTTTCCATTCCCAACCTATAGTCTCTCGCTTTTCTAAGAATTCCCTACTAAAGGGACTTGGAATTCATGTTGGAATCAAAATTGTCGCTGTTGCTGGGAACAAGTACCAGGAGTCGCACTTGCCACACAGCTGCTATGTCACACGGGGTGAGGAGGGAAACGCTGGCATTCGGAGTAAACTCGTGGCAGCAAACGGAAACACAGCCGCCCCAGAAGCCTCTGCTAAGGGAGGACTTTGAATTTTTTATCCCCCGTGAGATAGAAAACCAGGGCCGGCTTTGAGCAGAAGGACATGGTCTGGGTGGCCAGTGCTCTGCTGAGAGTAAGCATGTTGCTCTAGGAGCAAACACAGGCTCCTCCCCTGGCCGTCTGGGGTCAGGAAACTTCCTGGAAAAGAGCCAAGAGACAAGTGTCAAAAAGAGCAGAGAGATTGGCTCGAGCAAAAGTCCAGAGGTGAGCTCCAGCAAGGAGTGATCAAGGAGTGGGAGGTCTGGGCTGGTCACTAAGGGCCTCGCTCAGTGTGAAAGGGTTTGAACTTGGTTCTGAGGGCAATGGGAGCAGGCAGAGTTGTATAGAGGGGAGAGACACGTCGCTTACACAGGGCATTCTGGCGGCTGTGTGGAGGAGGGCAGGACAGGTGGCATAGAAGACCAGGCGATAGAATCCAGAGGTGACTGTGCCAACATTAAGTCAGCATCACAGGGATGGAGAAAAAGAGCCAAATTCCAGAGAAATCGCCCCAGAAAAATCAATGGGCGTGTGTGATTGAGTGGCTCTTGGGATTCAGGTAGAGAGAAAGGTCTGAGGTGGCCCCCAGGTCCTTGGACAAGGAGGTAGCTGCCAGCATACAGTAACCAAAGTCATGCCAGTGGATGAGATGACTCTGATGGGTGACTTTTGTGCAGGTGTAGAAAATAGGACCAGACTTGCCAATAGCCTGTGGCCCCAACAAAAGGGCCCTTAATTCTCCTTTAGCTCTGGATGAGAGAGGAGGCAATGCATGGGGCAGCTCTGCACTCTAGGTAACAGTCATGGGTCTGTTGTTTTAAAAAAATAGATTTTAGAAAAGGAGGTTAGAGGGTCCGTTGTTTTTGCTTGCGGGTTTTAATTGCATATTTGCATTTCTGAAAATGAGGCCGAGAACTGGTAGATCGCAATATGCCTCTTTCGGGAACAGCCTGCCTATTATACACTTGGGGTGCAAGGAACATTGCGTCAGGCCTGACAGGGGGGGCTTAGTTTTCTCTGAAAATGTTCCACGCCGCTCTCTTGCATCCCAGGCTCTCTGTGTCCTCCTAAGTGAAGTCGGTAGCAGCGGGAAGGAGGCAGCGCCACGCTAGTTGTGCTTGGGATTCAGACTTTGTAATGAAATGCAGGTACCCTGGCTGCCCACACCTGTTCTGCACCCAAGGTCCGGAGGAGGCAGGAGGAGGCAGGAGGAGGCTGAGGGTCCACTGAATGAGCAGGCAGTGTGCCTGGAAACCTGAGTACCAATTTTAGATTTAACAGCCATGTGGGAGAAGGTATCTTTAGGAGGCTGCAAGGCTGAAATTGTATGAAAATGATAGGGTTTAAGTCACCCCTGAGACAGACAAAATGCTACATTTGGATCCATGGGCTAGATTTTTATTAGCGTTTCCACAGAAACCAGTGTCAATCAGACAGATGCAGTCATGGCATTTGGGGGCAAGGTGACAAATAGCAGGAGGCCGTGTGTTTCAAAGTTGTGATCTGGGCTGAACTGCCATCCTTCCTCCACCAGACAACACTGAAACCTGATCAATTTGTTTGTTGGGATGACAGATGGACATACAAAACCTTTTATAGTGTCTCAAGGTGGGAGGACAGGCAACTCACCACCCTGGCCTCTGGGAGCGTCGCTATTCAGTTTTTGCATTTTTAATCTTATTGGTTCACTGCAGTTTTTCAGCCTTTGCAAACTCCCAAAATGAGCTAATTTGCATTACCGTTTTGCTGCTTTGCATCTTTTCAGGATCAGGGCTATTCCATTTGATGCTTGTTCTAAGAGAACTGAGCCAACAAAAGCCTGGTGTGGATCCCAACACATGGTCACACTCCATAACGATGCTAACAAGGAAGGACCAGAGCAGACTTGGAAGCGATGTTTTGGTTTCTTGTTTGGGGGTGGGGAGGAGGAGGTGGGTTCGATGGCTTTATTTATGGGAAAATTGTCCAGGAATGGCTTTCTCTCTCCTGATTATATGTTTAGTAGTTGCGTAGAATAAAAGTCCCAGTGAATATTTGCAAATCTTCTCTTACCTGTTTCTTTATCCTGTAACCACAGTAACAAGACTTCTTAAGGTTGTAGATTTTTAAGAAAGCGAATTATGATTGAGTTATTAATAAAGATTAGAGGTGACAGAAATGACCGTCACTGAGCAGTAGAGGTTTCAATGTGCAGATACATCAGTCCTTGGATGGTCTTTTGTACAAAACCTGTTAAGCCTACCTATACTGGTCACCTTAGCCCAAAGTTATTCACTCTCTTCCAGCTCCCAGGAGAGGATCGAAGGATGCCATAATGTCAGGGGGTGGGGAGCCCTCTAGTGGAAAATCATCAGGGCTTGCAGTGGAGCAGGAAAGAAAGTCCAGAAGCCACAGGAGGCATGTTAAATTTAGTCCGGCCAGTTGAACTGCGTCATGTAAACATGACATGACCTGCCATAGCCTCCTGCTGATTTTGGAAGGTGTTTACCAAGAAATCTGTCATGCAGAATTACCAAGAACATATTGAGGTCTGTGCTAAGTAGGTACTCAAATGAAAATCATTATTCTAAGGATATATGACATTCTTCATAGCCCTCACCTGAAAAGCCTGCAATGGGCAAAGTAAGGAATTGGGGTGGGGGGGGGGATGCCTTTTGGTAATAAATTAAAAATCCAATCTAAATTAGATGAGAACATCCCTCCCCCTCGCCACCAGGTCCTTAGGGCTAAGATTTGCTCATCTCCAGCTGCTTCTTTAAACAGAATACACCTTTCTAACCCTGCCTTCCCTCGGGCCATCACCTAAGCTGGGTCCTAACTGTCATTATAATTCACTGTCTTGTTTATCTTGTAACTAGGAAAAAAATGACAAAACAGTTTCTCCCCTAATCTCTGACCATAATCCATGTCTGAGACTGTAATGCCAGATTTTTACAAAATGTTTCTTCCGGTTTTGACTAGGGTTATGATATTTCTATGGGTCCCTTATTCCTGTCACTATTTGTGAATAAAGTAAATAAAGTGAGAGGAGACTAAAAAAAATCTCAAAACTTCTCAGTTGAAAATAACTTATTGACATCAGTGTTTTATATATATGCATTTTAAAGCATGCCATGTGGGAAATATCCTGCCGTGTGTGTGTTTACATGCATTCCTGGAAAATATAGAGCATTAGAGTTGGGGTGCCTTGCTGGGAGCTCATGATCTATGAGCCCCTCTCAAGGGTTCAAAAAGCATGTCTCCAGGCAATAAGAACCTGACGTTGAAGCTTGTGCCCTTCAAAGCCCACGTAAGATTCGTCACCAGTGCAGCAGAGGCAGCCAGTGAAAATGCAAACTCAGCACATTCTAGCTAAAATCACAGTTGCCTTTGTTTCTAATCTCTGACACTGGAGAGTCTCCGACTGTCTAGTCGGCAAACTTGATTTGTCCTTTTATGGACAGAAAATGACTATAACAAGGATTTGCAAATCCTGTCTATACTTCAAGGACCTTCTAAGGTCGTGATGTTCCCTTGCAGGCTGCTCAGCCTGACAAATATGGCCGTTTCTGACTCTCGGGGGTCTTCCTCTCTGTGAGACCCACATGGATGCGTGGTCATACACTGCATGATAGAGTGGCCTGACTCCTTGCATGAATGTCCTGTCTCCCTGTTAAATGCCCTTGGGGGTAAGGCCAGTGTATTATACATCCTGGGTCTAGTTCATTCATTTCACTCATTCATTCACTAACTCATTCATTCATCCAGTGAACGGTTATTGAGCCTGTCTGGGACCAGGTCCTGTTCTCCTCTCTGGAGATATATGAATGAGCAAAATGAACAAGATCTTTTTCCCAATAGAGAGAAATGTGGGACAGTGAACCTTAAACTCATTAACCACAAATGGGAAATTTCCACAATGGAAAGAGAAATAAAAATGGATACCCTGTGATAAAAGTGACAGAGGAAAAAAAGAATATGGTGCTCTAAAAGAGAACACTTAGATAGATTGGGGGTCAAAAAAGGCCTCCGAGGCGGTGATGTTTAAGCTGAAAACTGAAGACACGTGGTATTCCCCATAGAGCAGGTGCAAAGAAGTATTTCTTGCTTTAAGAAATGCTTAACCGGCTCTCAGGTCATGTGGGACAAACCTTCTAACCGCAGAGGACGCTTCTGGCTGTCTTCCGGTGCAACCCCACTCCTCTCTTTGTTTGTCGCCAGCCCACAAATGTTCTTTCTGGTGTCTTCCCTGGTTCCGATAGCCATGGAGACGCCTTCTGCATCAGCTCAGGCTACAGTGGAAGCAAAACAGTTGGACCTCGGTGCAACTTGCAGAGTTAGGATAAAATGCAAATATATTTATGAAGCATTTTAGCAGTCTGCAGGACACTTATCCTAACCATGGCATGTGACTGATTACAAAGTAAAAGCAAAGTAAAAAGCCTTTGGAATTCAGCAAATCTGGGTTTGAACCGAGCCCTGTGACCTTGAACAGATAATTTCATAGTCTCAGTTTCTCATCTGTAAAATGAAGGCGAGCTCATTTGACACTCACAAGATTTTATGAGAATTAATGTAATGCACCCAGGCACAGAACATGGGCAGTCACTAAACCTTCGCCGTAATCCCCTGCCCTCCTTTTCTCCCCGATTTTATGACCCCTCTGGGCCCCAGTTCTCCCCTTTGCTCCATGTTCACATGAGAGCCACCATTGTCCCCTCAATACCAGTTCCTCAAGGATGAATCTGCTTCATTTATGAGACATATTGGGCCACCCAACAGCAGGGAGGATGTGAGTACTGGGGACTGATATCACTCAGGCGAACAGCCCAGGGCAAGACAGGGTAACAGGACCAACGCCTGTCATCCTGGGGTCAGCAAAGGATTCGATCCAGGTGGGGACCTGGGGATACCAGGCAGGGTGATCACTCAGAGCCTAGGAGCAGGGTCAGGAGCATCTAGTCAGAAGCCAGGCCTGCAGGTTGGTCTCACCTAGGAGGAGCAAGAGCGGCTGTAATTCAGGGCTCCTTAAGACTTCTGGGAGTTTGAGCCCAAGAAGGCATCCATTCTAGGTCCCCAGGGAGAGGGGCGTGAGCAGGGCAGGAGATAAGTCTCCACTGAGACCTGTAGGTAACTGAATAGAGATCAGATGAGATCAAGCTTGGGAATGGTGTAGGGCAGGGCAAACAGAGAAGGCAGAGAACCATGGGAGGTAAACTTTACAGCCAACAGGACATCGGGCTTATCTGCGAATGTTATATGCGACTATACTCGAATCCCTCTTACTTTCTTACAGGTGAGTACAGACACTTCCAGCTCGAGAAAGGCAGACCCCAAAGGCCGGAGCGCACTGCTGGCTGACATCCAGCAAGGAACTCGCCTACGAAAAGTCACGCAGATCAACGACCGCAGTGCCCCACAAATCGAGAGTAAGTGAGCACCTGGGCCGGGCCGGCCGGGAGCCAGGGGCCGGCCACGTGAGGTTCAGCCAGACACCCCTGGCTTGCCCAGGACAGGGCCCTCCTTGTTACCCAGGACACATATGGGGCCATCTCAGACCTGCTCGGTGTACGGGCCACGTGGGGAGAGAGTCAGAGCTTCCCTTCCAGTCAGCAGGTGGTTTATGACGGATTTTCCATCATGGCGAGATGACTTATTCTGTTGTCATGATGAAATATGCATCATATAAAATTCACCATTTTAACTACTTCAAACGTCCAGTTCGGTGGCATTTAAAGATTCGCGGTGTGGTTGCAACCATCGCTCCGTCTAATCCCAGAACATTTCTGACACTTCAAAAAGAAATCATACCCGTTAGCAGTCAGACCCCGTTCCCCAGTTCCCAGTCCCTGGCAACCATGAAATCCACTTCCTAGCTCTATGGATTTGCCTATTTTGGATATTTCGTATAAGTAGAGTCATACAGTTTGCAGCCTTCTGCGACTGGCTCCTTTCACTTAGCGTCTTGTTCTCAAGGTTCATCCCTGTGGCAAGTACCAGAACTTCATTTCTTTGTTATCGTTGACTAATACGTCATCATATGGATACACCACTTTGTGTTTGTTCGTTGTGAGGTAACTAACATCACAGTCCTGTCTCGACATGGTCCTCAAACTCAGTGAGAGAAGAAGTCGAGTCTCGACCTGTGAAAATGCGAAGTTTTGTTTTTCCCCAAGAAAAAAGATTTATTCAGAATTCTCTCCCAGGATCATACGACTGTAGCTTTCTACGTCTTCGGGAGTTCAATAGGGTAAAGGGATCCCTGTGCTTGGGTCACATGACCCATGTCAACTTCTGGTGCCAGGCAATTCAGGGAACCTCTCTGAGACTAAATCTGTTCAACTGCAAATTGAGGAAAATAATAATAATACATGTTCTTTTTTTGGTCAAGTTTGTTGAAGGTTGAAATAATATATGCAGAACCATTTATCAATGTAAGGTATTATTAATGTCTTCATATATTTTTCAGTGATGAGCATAATGGTAATTCTCAAAGACAGCCCTGAAAACATAATTGTATCGATAGCTATATATGTTTATACGTAAGGATAAACAAATTCTTTTCAGAAATATTTTCAACAATTGCGATAAAAATTAGTTTCTATTCAGACCCACTAACTAATTGGTGAAGCCGAATTAACAAATAAGTCCATTTTATTGGAACACTCACTTGCTAATCATTTCCACTGAGTAGGTCATGTATATAATATTAATATTCAGAATAACCTGGCCACGTTTATCTACCAGCGGGCACTGTGTCTTAATTTCTCTATGCATATTAGCTTCAGGTTGTGAAGATTTTTTTGCCAGAAATTCTTATCTAAGCCGAATGACTTCTCCTTTTACGTAGCTGGTAATCACACACATCAGGAAGGCAGGAATTAGTGACACTTCTTTGAGGCTCATGAGCTTTCTCTTCCACAGAAGAAAAGGTGCAGGGGAGCATGCGGGGCTCGGGGGGTGAGAGCCGGGGAGACAGGACAGGAAAATGTGGAAGCGCAAATCACTGCAGATCTCCACTTCCTGCTTGCAGCTCTGGGCCAGGCTCTGTGGACAGGAAGTTAAAATTACCGACTGAATTAAATCTGTGGGTTTTCTCTGACTAGTCCTCCCACAACGACAATCAAGTTGAAAGTAGGACCAGCTCTACAACCACCATGTTTGGGTTTTCTAATTTGAAAGGCGCTCCAGTTGTCCATTGGCATCTACTATATTACGGTGCATAGATTCCTTTGTTTTGGTCGCTTTTCGGGGTGGTCGGCCACTGAGAGTTGGTTATTTGGTAGGTCCAGAGAGGACAGCAGACAGGCCTGGGCACATGAGTCTGCAGGGTTTCAAGGCAGAGGCTGTTTGGGAAAGACGCCAACTAAAAGGATAACATTGCAGGTGGGAGAACAGAAAGGCTTCCGTGGCCAGCGTTAGACCATGACTCCAGGTGAGAATCAGCAGCTCGGTTCCGCTCACAAGTCCTCATCTACTTGCCTCTTCTCTCTAAAGGTTCTAAAGGACCCAACAACAAAGAAGGAGGAGGTTCCACAAACTCCCGAGGTGGAAGCACCCCCCCAGCCCTGGGAGATCTGTTTGCTGGTGGCTTTCCTGTATTGCGACCAGCAGGCCAGAGAGATGCAGCAGGTAAGGAAGAACTCGGACTGGCTGCCTTGTGACCTTCATCTCCTTCACTTGTAGAACCAACTAGGAAATCCTCACACGCCAGTAAGCGACATGTTTTTAGTGAACAGCCATGGAGCAGGAGATCATCTGTTTGGGAACTTAAGCACTGAAAATTGCCAAAGCACAAAATTGTTCTCATGGGACCTTTTTAATCATCATCCTGTTGCAATCATCCCGTTGTAACAATTGAAGAATAATTTGCCATAGTGCGTAGTATTTAGCAATGGTGTGATTGTGGCCCAGACTGCAAAGTACAGACAGAAGATCTTAGCGACATCACTGTGGCTTCACCGGCAATGCACTAGTCGTAAACTCCCATTGTGTCAGTTCGCTATTGCTGTGTAACAAAATGCCCTAAAACTTAGGGCCTTTTAACAACTATTTATTTAGCTTACAGTTCTGCGCGTTGGCAATTTAGGGTGACCTCGGCTGGGCTCTCTCTTCAGGTCGAGTCGGTGGCTTTGCTAGCTTGATATTTCTTATGTCTTTGATGCCTCAGCTGGGATGACTGGCCTGGCTGATCCATGTGGTCTCTCCTTATCTAGCAGACTTTTCAGGGTTTGTTTTCATAGTCGTGGCAGGGTTTCAGCAAAGAAGACAGAAGGATATAAAGTCTCTTGGGGCTTAGTCTTGGAATTGGCACAGTGTTACTTCCTACCAAAGCAAAGTAAGTCACAAGGCCAGCCCAAGACAAGGGTGAGAAAAGAGACTTCACCTCTCGGTGAAAGGAACTGCAAAATCACCTTTCAAAGGTTACGGAATCAGGACTGAATGGATAATCAAGGCCATTTTTGCAACCAGTCTACCACAGTCATTTGTGTTTTAGTGGGTATCAGATGTTTTGAAAGCATTGCATCAAAATCAGGCAAATACATATTTATCATGTGAAAAAAAAAAAGTGTTTTCCTTATTACTGTGCTCTTTAGCCAGCAAGGTGAATAAACTCTAAGAAGTTCATTATTCTAGGGACTATCAAGCCCAAAACATTCCTGGTATAGAATCTTCTACCATGTGACTTTGCTGACTTTCTCAGTGGGCTCTGTGGCTGTTTGACCGTATGGGGTGTGTTTGCTGCCATCGCCTACTGATAAAATTCAGCAGAGATAAGGGCTCTAGGATGCTCTGAGATCCACCTGGAACCTTCTCAGAGACCATTTCATTCCTCGTTTTTGCTGCGGGTTTGTCAGATAAGAAAGTGTGAGGTCAACTTGAAAAAAAGAGCTGGCATTCTTCGGTGCCCTCTTCTTTTTCAAACTTCCTGAGTGGTATCAAAAAAATATCCTTTGGGAAACTTCTACTGACTTCTCTTCACAGAGATGAAGATAGGAGAAATAACCCGCAGTCAGGTTATAACAGAGACCAGCCACCGGAAACCGGCAGTATTCCTCCTTGTCTCCAATAAGACACACTTGTCAGATGTTTGAGGCACTATGTTTGTGAAGACAAGAATCGATCTCTAGAGGAGATCGAAATCCATAACGACGTGATTAACGATGCCTGTTATAGGACGGAAATTCAAGGACAGAGCCAATCGGTAGATCCATGTCGCAGTATGACAGCCATGGCTCTCCTCTCTCAGAACTCTCCCATCCGTCCCCTTGTCATTCAGAGAAAAGGACTTTGGCCTTTGCTGCCTCTCTGACCTTCTTGCTGGCTCACGCCCTGCACTGCTCCAGCCACACTGCCTTCCTGCTGTTCTTGCACAAACCAGAAAATATAGGGTTGCTGAAATAGGGAAAAAGTCTCCCCCAGAATTCCTTTGAGGGAGAACACTGTGTTTATTAGGAAGAAGTATTTTTAAATGCCTTCGAGGTGGAGAGTGACTCTGAGAGGGCGTGGGGAAGCAGTGGTTACAGAACTCCCATGGAGTAAACAAGAAGAGGAACATTTTCCTCCTTAAGCAAAGGGAAAAAACGGGTAAGAACTAGCAGTCTGGCGGAAGGGCACGTGCCGAGAGTGACAAGGCCACTCCCGGGGACCACGCTCTACACTAGTCTTCCAGCGAACACGTGCTTTCCATGAGCGGTTTGTTGTTGCTGAGTTCCAGAGGCCTTGGATTTCAAGGTGGGGTCAGTGTGGCATGGCGAGGTACTGGGTCAGGAAGCCAGGAGCCCGGGAGACCGTGAGCGCCTTAGAAATGGGCACACGTCTTTGGGAAGAGGCGCTCTGAACTTCCAGAGGCCAAGAGACTGGGAGGTTTAAGGTCACTGGACCAGGATCCCCAAGGCAGGATGTGTTCCCACCGCCTTGGGAGTTACCTTATATATTCAGGAAATTGTGAAGCTTCTGCTCTCTACAGAAACGAAGTCCTTGTTCACAAGGACAAGTGAGGAACACCTCCCTCACCAGGAGATTCTGGTTGACACCTGAGGATCCAATCTGGGACATAAGGGTTGATGGACCTAGTGGGCAAGAATGAATGAGTGTGATGGTGGCCTTGGGATGAGGAAGGGCAAAGGAGCGGGGAGCAGTCCTGTGCCCAGGGCCGGGAGCCGGGAGGTGCTTAGCAGATGAGGATAGAGGTGGAATGCAATATGAAAGCTGGTGTCCTGAGCTGGGCTCCTCTCAGAGCTGGACAGCACAGTAATGCTGGCAAGGACCTGGGGGCAAGTCCAGCTCGCCCTCCCGTGTGACGGTTGCTGCACCCGAGTCCCCTCAGTAGACACGCAGGCAGAGAGCATCCGCCATGCAATTCACTGACATCAGGCTGGAGAGTGTTGGTCATGCCTCCCACACACTTGAGGTCTCTTTCCTCTGTCGCCGAGCTAACTCGGAACTTGTCTCACTTACAGGTGGCAAGACAGGGCAGGCCCCTGGCTCCCGCGCGCCTTCTCCCCGGCTTCCCACCAAAACTGTCAGCAGCCCGCTGAACCCCCCAGCATCTCCCAGGCTAGGAAATGCCTCCGAGGCGCACGGTGCTGCCAGGACAGTCCCTCCTCGGCCCAGCGTGCCTGCCCCGCCTCCTCCGACCCCGCCCCCACCTCCTCCACCCTTACCCCCACCCCTGCCCCCTTCCTCCCCCATCAGAGTCCC